GATTGAATGTGACCAGTTGTTTTGGCTGATATTTACACACACACACACACACACACACACACACAAAGGCTTGGGCACATCTCTTTGCAGTTTAGGGAAGGATGAATACTTTTATTTAAACTTCAGTAAATAAAATAAAAATCCACCTGTGACTTTACTAAAATAAAGGGGCTGGCTGCTTAAGAGGTCCCTGTGACAGAGTGCTAAGGCAGGTTCCAGCCTCCTGTGGGAGCATATGGGGGAGGGAGAGTGGTCTAGGAAAGAGATGGGGGTGGGGGGAGAAATCAAAGCTTTAATCATTTTAATAAGGTATGGCTTTAGCAAACTGATTGGGACTACTATTTTCCTAACATTTAATTAGTTTTTTTAAAAAAGTGGTGGAATTAAAATAGAGTTTTTCTTCCCTTTTCTAAATGCATTAAAATTGCTGGAGACACTTAGTCCATCCTTTCCAAAGGAATGTTCCTTAAAGCACACAACAAACAGCAGTTCAAATACCAAAAGGTGGATGTTTTAGAAATTTGAATTTGTGGAAAAAATTCTAACAGGAATAGTTTGCAACTGTATATATAAGAGGTAATATCTGCCCACTATAATCACATGCATCAAATGAGACTTTCATAACTGTTGCATTGTAGGTTTATGGCTTCTGTACACTAAGCTCATGACCTATTTAACATCCAGTGTTGAGGTACTGATTTTTCATCTTTACAGCACTTTGCAAATGAATGGAGTTAGGATAAGTTGCATGTAGCTGTCTGAGTCCAGTTAATATTTCAAAGTGGGGTGTGAATTTAGCATCTGTAGGATCACCATATTCTCAATATTTAATCACATTTAGTTCTGTTGTCTGCTTTAAATTAATAAGCACTTCAGTGAAGACAAACTTAAATCTCACTTTTGGAATTTTTTGGCTATTGAATACAAAACATTGGTCTTCCCACACCATTGGAATACTCTCTAGTCTCTTTCCCACATATCTGTATACATATTCCCCTTTCACACTATTATGTATGTTTAAATAGGACACTGGTTTTAAAAAAACAACCAAAACTCTGAAATGACAGTTGGCGCTTTGTAAGTTAACCGAATATTGCCTCTGTTTGGATGCAATTAAAACCTACTGAGTAGTCCCCTAAACCATTTTAATGATATGTTCTACCACCTGCTGAAAAACTGCTGAACCTAATTCGTTTTATAGTATGAGACTAGAAGCCAGAAAGTTAAGTGATTACTGCTATTATAACTGTTGAAATATCAATATCCCTGCCAAAATTAAAATCAACATTCAGAACTTCCATTTGTGTGTGAGATAACAGTTCTCTGAAACGTCTGAGATAGTATCAGAGGGGTGGAGGGAAAAGCCTCCAATGTGACCCAAGTATATACAGCACAAGTTAATGTGTCTGTATTACTTTCACCTTTTAAAAAAAAAAGCGCCAAACTGTTCATGTTGCCGTTTTGAAATGAAATATTTTTGCTTTTCATTTCAAAAATTGTTTTATTCAGAAGTAGTTATTTACTTAGAGGGTGAAACACCTAAAACCATTCTGATACAAAAAAGAAAAAACCCACCCAAAACAATTTGTTTCAGTTTAAGTAGAGAAACAAGAACAAAAACAGTTTCACTTAGAAAGTGTTTTTGGGGGATTTTTCAGTTCTGCCCAGGAACAACAAAAAAAATCATTCACTTAGCTCTAGTAGGCATCTTAAACTTCTCCTTACAGTTTGAATATCATCCCAATTTACTAGTTCTAGTTTCTATATTTCCTTTGTCCTATGTAAGGATCTTTAACAACTGAGAAATAGAACCAACATTACTGGTCTTTCAAATACTTTCTATTGTAGTACACCCTCTTTCTCCACACAGCTTTATGGATTATCTGCTAATTTAATAATTGATTGTTCCTCACAAGATAATTTCTCTACTTTATGCAAGTTGTTTGCAATGTCCTATTTTCATTGCAAGTGACAGACTAAGTTATATTAAATGTGTACATAGGTGTCTTGTGCATAAGTGACTCATACATAGGCACTTTGGATGTCAAAAGTAGATGGATATTCTCTAGGAATATTTAGTATTAATACATGTTTTGAAACATTCGCTTTTTTTTGTTAGAGTGCAAGTGTCATGCCAAGGAAATAACGTGGGTAAAAATCTCCCAAACACCAAAGGCCACTTCTGTCCCAGATGTAACACAAGACATTCCCCAACAGCTTATTGTAATAGGAGCTATTTTATGGATAGGTCATTTTACACAGACATTTTAGAAATACATCCTTAATACTGGACTAGCAACATTAAACTTTCTTCCAAACAACTATATAACTCTTAATTTGTTATTGTGAAAAGGAAGAGTAGCAGAACTCATCAACTGACTTTACACCATTTCTAGTTTTCTCATACTGGGAGAGGGTGCCACGCTAATGCAATTTTGTAGTTTAAAAGTATCTAATCTAAAAAAGGAATTTTCTGATAGTGAACAATTGCGGTAACAAATTAGCAGGGACCAATAGGCGATTGTTGTATTACACTTACAGAAATATACTTGGAAGTAGAAACAAAATGCTAGTACACAGTAGTCTGAACTGTCAATTAAGAAAGCAGATGACCGACCTGTGCTACATTAGATTTATTCTTAGCTCGTTAATAGCTATATGCAAATAACTATCAAAGTTCTGATGAAACATTTGGAGGCTGAAGAGCCCCTTTCCAGAGGTACAGTTCTTTTTAGTGAAGGGCATCCAATTCCAACAGGCAGAGCTCATCCCAGATAGGTGAAGGATCACCATGGACTACAGGAACCTATGCACTCCCGCAGATAACTTTCTGAACGGCCTTCTGTAACCTCCATCAGTGTTGTGCACACAGTCAGCTAGCAAGAAAAAGGAAACTCATTTTATCCCTCCTGTGATTCACATTTACTTATTTCAGATAGTTGCTGAGGAACAGAGGATGGAGAACTATCTGGCTCTTCTAGCTTCTAATATTTCTAGTTGTGTATATTATGAGGTTTGTTTTTAGTAAAACATTACATGTATGCTGTAAGAGCAAGAATAAGATTATGTTCTTGCCATCCACACAAAGGTAAAAAAACCTAGTTAACCACTATGATCAGTTATAACAAACTTAATCCTAATCCCACTGAAGAACCATCAAGTGTCCATTCTATATGTTAAGAGAGCAACTTTAGGCATGCTGAGAAGTAGCATCTTGAGCTGTAACCCGAAAGTTTTAGAAGAATTAAGTCTAAGTTATGTGGATCGCTGATTAACCAGTTTTGGACTGATCCTTAATGAAGGCCCAGAACCTCTGAAGTGTTCTTGAATCAGTGTATTTATAAAAGAGGAGACATTATCCTAAAATTTACATCACCTCTACAAAACATAATCAATCACTTTTCATCCTTTGATCTATGCTCCTTGACATTAGATTGATATGTCTCCTTGATATGATAGAGGTATATAAAATCATGAGTGATGTGGAGAAAGTGGACAAGGAAAAGTTATTTACTTATTCCCATAATACAAGAACTAGGGATCACCAAATGAAATTAATAGGAAGCAGGTTTAAAAAAATACAAGGAAGTTCTTCTTCACGCAGTGCACCGTCAACTTGTGGAACTCCTTAACTGAGGAGGTTGTGAAGGCTAGGACTATAACAGCGTTTAAAAGAACTGGATAAATTCATGGTGGTTAAGTCCATTAATGGCTATTAGCCAGGATGGGTAAGGAATGGTGTCCCTAGCCTCTGTTTGTCAGAGGATGGAGATGGATGGCAGGAGAGAGATCACTTGATCATTGCCTGCTAGCTCCACTCCCTCTGGGGCACCTGTCGATAGACAGGATACTGGGCTAGATGGACCTTTGGTCTGACCCGGTACGGTCGTTCTTATGTAGATTCCTTGCTCCTGGCACTAAGGAAGGTAAGGTGTGTGTGAGATATGAGTCGCAATTTGTAAGCAGACTGGACCAGATTTTCCCTTGGATATTTAACCTCTAAATTCATGGGTAACGGTAAGTCTGACCTCATCCAAATCTGATGCTAAGTGTTTTTGCCTCTATTTACAGATACAAGTTTAAATGATTTCATATACATTTTGTGAAGTGCCAGAGAACTTTGACTCCAACATATTTTGAAGGAAGTTTTACTTGAGAATCTCATGTCAGTGCTTTCCCCTGCTTGTGTAATTTGACTGCTATTAGAAAAGATGAGGTATTCATCCTTTTCTGAACAAGTTGGATTTGCTGCACATCCTCTTACAAACTAGTATGAGCACTGAATTTTCACTGATGTTTCAGTAGATGTCTTGCTGGTTATTCTTTTACATTTTCAAGACCAATAATATTTTTGTTTTTGTTTTTTATTTTTGTTTCAAGTTTCTGCCAAAATATACAGA